TGCCGGCTTCTTTTACAACTGAATCATCGCTCAACGCTATGGGATGTTAGTTGTGTATTGATAGGTCAAGACACGTCACCCTACCTTTGCCATTAGGCGAATTGTTTGCCCAGTGACAGAAGATGGGCCGCAAGTAAGCCAATTGCTTCGCCTGCTGCTGGGATTGAATCTTGGTGTGGATTGATGCTCCTGAAGCATAGCCGTCCAAACTTTGCCTAATCTCGTCCGCGGTAGGAAAGATGACCTTGTACGTTGGCCTGGGTGTCGCAAGGGATTTGTTCTTGGATTCGGCTAGGGAGTCGAAGAGGCACCTTTGGAGCCAGCTGTCAGTGGCCCCTAAAGTAGCAATAGACGATATCTGAACCGCAATCTCAGACTTCCCTTCTTGGACCGGAACATTGCGCAGTGCTCTTTTTAGGGCTGGCCATCCCCAGGTTGTCTGCGAAGTGTCGTGAATGGGGTGTCGGCCGGGGACGCTAGCAATGAGTGTTGCACGCACACCTAAAAAGTCATATCTGCGCAACTTTTCGACCAAGTCTACGAGGATTGGTCTCCGTGTGTTGTACGCTCTGAGGTAGCTCAGCAGATCGTATTTGAATCTTTCCCCTGTTCCGAAAGAATGTCTACCCGCTGAGCCGTTCTCGTCAACGACCTTTTCGGGAAGTAGTGGCAGAATTGGAGATCTCCAGACAGCATTGGTCATATTCGTCCAGTCCTTGGCGATCATGTTGGCCGTATGTATGATCACTTGGGCTGAGTCGTCATGCCGGACCAACACAATCATTTTCGTGTGGTGAGTGCCAAACATCTCCGGCATGAAAGCCCCGTGTAGCTCAACATTGGGATACGCTCCTGCCTCTTCCTTTTCAACGTCAGCGTTCAGGTCTGTTCAGTGGCTTATACTCGTTATCATCGGCTGACCTGAAGGGCTATGCGATTGGGATCTTCTCTCTTCCAGAAACCGTGAATGATGTGAACTTTGACTAGGTTCCTGGTATCCTCGTCAAAGTGGCTCATGAGAAAGTGAACGTCGTGCAGGAAGTTGAACTCCCAACACTCTGCAATCATAGGATCGCCCAGGATGTCAGCGAGGCCGACGCAGTCGCGGTTGGCAGCCTCGGGGAGATCCCTTATGGTTGTCAGCTGGAACGGCGACTTGATACGCATGCCCGGCTGTTTTCTCTTCATGGGAGGACTTATAGGCCGGTTCAGGGATTCCACATGGTCTGACTGAGTTGTCGGCGGCAGCCCCTCCAAGTCTTCGGCACGTCGCTGTCGTTTGAATGCTCGCTCCATGGCGAAAATGAAATCAATGAGTGATCATGTACGGCATGTATAAGGGGGGTCAAGTTTGTTCCAGGGGAGCGAGATTACTTGAGACGGGGTTGGTGGCTGAGACTTTATGAGGTGGACGGATGGAAGGAGCGAGATGTGCCAAATCGTTGTTCTAGGCAGGTGGCTCCGGCTTAGATCCGTTTAGGCACACAACCGCGGCGTGCTTAGCCCTTGCGGTTACTTCTGTACCCAAAAAAACCATGAAATAAGCCAAAACTTCTTGGACTGGATTTATAGTCGAACAATTGAGTTGCGTATATTGGTACTTAGCTAAGAACACCTATCTATGCATTGTTCTGGCAATTCTCAAAGCCACCCGTTGTCTTTATTGCAGCACTCGAAGCTAGTCTAGCAGGGTAGTGACGTTATTGCTTTCGAAGTGCATTTACTGTATCTCGGTTTACTGCCTTGTAAGTATGCTCCAAGCCTACTTTTTCATCTCTCATAAAAATGCCATGGATTTCCGCTAATTCGCAACTGAATTGAAATGATGGCTCCAGCAATGTATCAAGCATGGCCTCTCTCCTGGCCTCAAGCTTCCTGGCCCGCGATGTGATAGGTTGAGCTTTTGCCTGCAAGCACCTACATTGCCTCCGCCGTATTGATCCCATTTGGGCCGGCTTCACTTTTTCAGAGAAGATGGTTCGTCGAACCTTTTCAGCTGATATGCGGGCCGGCTGAACAGGCTTGGCATCCTTCCCAATCACGCCCTACTTCAAGTTTGGCGGTGCATCCAGCCTTTCTCTTTCATCCCCTCTAGCGGTCAACTCAACATGGATCCTCTTTCCACCGCCGCAAGCATCATCGCCTTGATACAGGCATCGGCGGCTGTTGGAAAAGGATTAAAGATACTCCTCTCTCTTCGTCATGCTCCGGCGGACTTTTGCGAGCTCGTTGATGAGTTGACAGCCCTTCAGGGTGTTATCGAGCAGGTCAAGAGCCCGCTTCAGGAATTGGGGAAGGGAGATATTGCTCTTCCGGTGTTGAACGTCGCCCCGACGCTGGCTTTGAAACAGGATCTAGAGAGTATACAAAAGGAGTTGCTAGCTCTGTGTCATCGTCTCACGGGAACAAAGTCTGGCGATGAAATGAGCGGGCAACTTCGAGTCTCAATGTCGAGGTGGATCCGAGAGAGAAGTAATGTTGCCAAGCTGAGATGCAAGGCAAGCAAGACCAAGACATCTCTAATCCTTTGTTTTGGCGCTCTCATCTCCTCACAAAGGTAAGCGCACGTTGACTGTTGAAGGCGAGTGCGATTCAGCGAGTCGCTGACTCGAATAGCTCCCATCACGCCAGGGCCATATTGGAAGTTCGCCAGCTCATTGAGACTTCTTTCATGACTTTGGAAGAGGAGGGCAGGATACATCGACAGATGCAAATCATGAATCAAGCCGACTTGAACGATATCAAGGTCTCTCTCAACCAGATGCTTGCCAAGACTTTGCAACCAGAGGACTCGATGCAAGGAAGAGACCAGCCTTCGATTGTGATGAGCAACGGTCTACGCTACATAAAGACCGGAGGTATCCCCTTTCAGTCATTCCAGAAACCAGTCGACCGAAAATGCACATCGTATTGCAAATGTCAATGCCATCGACACTCTAGGCTACAGACACCGACATGGCTACGCTTGATATTGGGGACCCTATTCCTCGAATTCAACAGAAAATCACTGCTGGGGCCCAGAAAGTGCGATCTTGAGACGTGTGATGGAGCACCGGATTCGACACGGATGATATACATCTTTCCCCAGTGGTTCCTCTTGCGTGCCCTGTTTGTCGCTGCTTCACGGGACAGTCTGACCGGAATCGGCTCTTCGATTCACCTCCGTATCCCGCGAATAATCCCACGCGACCAAATGATATCGATCGTGTATAACTTCGACATCGAATGGATAAAAAGAGGAATCATCAACTCAACTGTACTGCCTACAGATGTAGATGAGGATGGGAACTCGCTCCTTGTGGTACGTCCGTGTGTATCAATATCTGTAGATCGTCCTAGTTCCTTAACCTTGTTGCAACGTCTTCAGATATCGCTACGCGACGTCAACTTGACGCTTTCGGAATTTCTGGTCGAGCAAGGATGGCCGTTGCACACTGAAAATGTTACTCGCTGGTAAGCTAGCTTGATCCGGTGCCCTAATACTTGGTTGACGGTTCGAGGTTGACTCGTCTTAGGACCGCTGCCAGCCGCTCTCGCATACTCTATTATGCGGTGAAACAAAGCCAGATACAGTCTCTCAAGCCCGAGCATGGTCGGATGCTCGAGCAATTGACCTTTTCTCAAGAGGTTGAAACATCATCCTTGATTCACGATGCGATGCTCGGAACCGTCCCGACATCTTTGTCAGACGCAATCACGCTAGCTCGTTCTGATATTGATAGCCTGGATAGTTACGGATGGTGTCCGCTGCACTGGGCAATCTATCTGGCCGATTACGCTTCGTTCGATATGCTGCTGTATCGCGGTGCGAGTCTCGAGACGACTACCAGGAACGGGTGGACACCTCTGCATTACGCAGCGCGATATGAATCTCCTGGTTCGGTGAGGATGACTAAAGCACTACTCGACGCTGGTGCGAACATTGATGCCAAAATCGACAACTACCGTGGGTCCAAAGGAGAGACCGCAATCATGTTCGCGTTCGACAACCCTGATGTTGTAGACTTACTACTGCAGAGAGGAAGTGCTTTGGTGGTTGAGACCGACACAAACTGGGTGTGCCCGCTCTCGTACAGGGCTCGCCGTACAAGTAACGTCTCCCGTTGGGATCCGAGGAGGGCCTACTGGGATCGATCTCTCGACTTGCTCTGCAACGCCGGCATGGACCTTAATGTACCGTCCAAACAGAGGGGCTTCGAAGGCAGAACACCCATCCACGACACGATTCTGTGGCGCAATGCAGCGTTGTTGGAGCTCCTGATTCAGCACGGCGCCAGACTCGATGCCGTTGACAAGAAGGGGTCCGGGATGCTCCACTTTGCGGCCCAGAGTGCAAATCAGGAGCTCATTGACATTTTGAGCGATGCTCGTATCCGCGGATTGAACCCTGATCAAGCAAACGCGGCTGGCGATACTCCGATGAAGATTATGACCGCCAGGCTTTATAGCAAGGAAGACTCTAGACAGCCGGGCGAGACGGTGCCGACATTCGACGAGTGGTTGGCTTTTAAGAACATATTAGAAGAGATTCGAGAACGCAATCTCGAGGACTTCTTGTTGGGACATAAATGCATGGACATTGTCGATGATGTCAGCTCCAGCGAAATTTCGAGCAGCACCAGTGACGATGTGGATTAGTTGTCGATTCAGCCAAATCAAGGAATGGGAAATGCAATACAGTAACCCTTTGGTTCTAGAATTGAGCGTATAAATGCCATGGTGTTCAGGGTCCTTTCGTGGGGTTGAAAAGCCCCCAGCTTGAGTTTACTCTCCCTCGTGGGATGCGATGACGATCCGCACGTGCCACTGGAACAGTTCTCCATAGCTCTCGAGTTTGTTGCATGGCAGTGGGTGGTGCGTGGCACGCGTAGTGAGATTTTGAGGTGGCGATCCGAAATGGAGAAGGCTAGGTAAGCAGCATTCTATTCTTATCGCAACCCAGATCCACCTACCTAGCTGCTGCTGCAAGATTGAACTCTGCCCAACTTTCGAATGGCGAAATGAACCAATGTTTAGTGGGGGCAGGTCGAGCAGGCGGGCAGCTGGCACCACAAGTTCCCGCTGTTCTCCCACACTCTCCGCTTGCCGCCCGCCAGGCTTTGCCAGGGGACACCAAGAACGGACAGCTGGAGGTTGACTGGAGACGGTGGCCTTAGCAAGAACACACACAAATCAGCGGTTGTTGCCTCATATATAAGGCAACATACATCTCCCGTGTCTGGCTGCGCAACGGCTGGCACCAAGGACCAGAACCAGCCAGAGAACCTGGACCGCGCTACAGAATCTTGACACACGGTCTTTCTCCTGACCTGCCAGTCCTGTCGCTCGCTTTCGCTGGTCCCTTTGCTTGGCTTCCCCCTTTGCCAGAAGCAACCACCCATCTAACCTGCCACCACCACCCTTTTTTCTCCTTCATTTCGACGCCGCTGGACGATTTTCGGGGGGCTTTGACCCAGACGACGAAAGGAACATTAGCTTCTTTCTCGACTTTTCTACCCTCCATGTCTTCGGCGATCTAAAAGGTTTTATCTAAACCCTTTGCAAACCCCTCGAACCACCTCAATCGCGACTTCCGATCCGATCCACACCTATCTGACGCTGCACCTTACCATTGCGAATTGACGACACAACCGCGCTTTGTTGCGCCCTCTGGACTGATTGCGTCTGCCCAGCAGTCGTTATTGGCATCGCTAGACAGACTTTGCTTTCTATCTTTCGCTCTAAAGTCATCGCACTCACGCGGTGCACTCTCATCGCTGCAATGAGGTTATCACTTTTGTTCCTGTTCTTGGGCTCGACCCTCCTTTCCGGGGTTCAAGCAGCAGAGGCAGACAAGGATGAACGGGAGAACACCTACTTCAACTCCATGAAAGTGCCGCCAATACTCGAGTTGACCCCGGATACCTTTGACAAGGAGGTTAAGGCCTCGCAGTTCATGCTTATCAAGCACTACAGGTACCCGATCATGCTATCGCTTACCCGCCCTTCGCGCAACGTGCTGACGATGGAATAGCCCTTACTGCCCGCATTGCATAGACTATGCGCCGATATACCAGACCCTCTACGAGTGGTACTACACTTCGAAGCCCGAGTCCAATGAGGACAAGACCTTTACCGAGCTCTACGATTTTCGCTTCGCCACGATTAACTGCGTGGCCTACTTTGATCTTTGCGCTTCCCACAACGTCGCGTCGTACCCTAGCACTATCCTCTACAAGAATGGCGAGCTGGCCGAGTTGATCAAGGGTGTCAAGGACATTGACCAGATCAGCCCCATCATCGAGAAGTACCTCGAGGCGGCCAAGCCCGGAACCAGGCCCCGCAGCCTCGAGTATCCCGAGCCTGGCGACAAGACCTCCCCCGAAAAGGCTCCAGGAAAGGCTGACGACTCGAAGAAGCCTGTGGACGACAAGGCCGACGCCAAGACGGACGCCAAGACTGATAGCAAGGCTCCCGCAAAGGCCGACGAGAAGACGCCGCCAAAGGAAGAGACCAAGGCTCCCCCGAAGGCTCCTCCCGCGAAGGAGGACGACAAGCCTGCAGGCAAGACCGATGCGAAGGCTGATACTAAGGGCGATGCCAAGGGCGACACGAAGACTGAGACAAAGACTGACGCAAAGGCCGACGTCAAGGCAGAGGCAAAGCCTAGCACCACCTCGAAGGCTATCGCCGTTCCTACCAAGGCCGTCGTTAAGAAACCTACAGTCACACCCAACAAGGAAGGTGCCTCTGTGCCTCTGAGTGCCGAAAGATTCCAGACCTTGGTTACCATGACCCAGGACCCTTGGTTTGTCAAGTTCTACGCGCCCTGGTGCCATCACTGCCAGGCCATGGCACCTAACTGGCAGCAACTGGCCAAGGAGATGAAGGGTCGTCTGAATATCGGAGAGGTCAACTGCGACGTGGAGACCAGACTCTGCAAGGACGTCCGTCTCCGCGGCTACCCCACCATTCTCTTCTTCAAGGGTGGCGAGCGTGTCGAGTATGATGGTCTCAGAGGCCTCGGCGACTTTGTTCACTACGCCAACAAGGCCATCGACATTAGCGAGGGAGTACTGGATGTAGACGCTGAGTCCTTGGCAGCTCTCGAGGAGAAGGAAGAGGTTATCTTCATCTACTTCTACGACCACGCCACTACCTCTGAGGACTTCATGGCTCTTGAGCGCATCCCTCTCAGCCTGATTGGCAAGGCAAAGCTCGTGAAGACCAAGGATCCCGTTCTTTTCGCCCGTTACAAGATCACGACCTGGCCTCGCTTGCTCGTTTCCAGAGAGGGCCGCCCTACATACTATCAGCCGCTGACACCCAAGGAGATGCGCGATATCCACCAAGTCTTGAACTGGATGAAATCAGTATGGCTTCCGATTGTTCCTGAGATGACCGCTTCCAATGCCCGCGAGATCATGGACGGCAAGGTTGTCGTCCTCGGAATCGTCAACAGGGAAGACCAGGAGGGCTTCCTTAGAGCCAAGCGCGAGTTGAAGAGTGCTGCCAACGAGTGGATGGATAAGCAGATCCTTCTCTTCCAGCACGAAAGGCAAGAGCTTCGAGATGCCAAGCAACTCAGAATCGATGAGGCCGATGACCGCGGCGACGGGCGTGCGTTGCGTGCGGCCAAGGCCATCCGCATCAACATGGACAAGTCGGACCGCAAGCAGGTTGGCTTTGCCTGGGTTGATAGTGTCTTCTGGCAGAGATGGATTCGCACCACCTATGGCATTGATACCAAGGACGGAGACCGTGTCATTATCAATGACGAGGATGTAAGCACAACCGACGCACACATGCACGTGAACAGCCAGACTGACTTGAGTTTTAGAACCGCCGCTACTGGGATACCACTATTACTGGCAACAACATCCTTTTGTCCCGGACGTCGATCTTGGAGACCATTAACAAGGTCGTCTCTTCGCCGCCCAAGATCAAGCCCAAGCTCACCATCTCGAGCTTCGAGAAGATCTTCTTCGACATCCGTGTCACCTTTGTCGAGCACCCCTATCTCACCATGGGCTGCATTCTCGGCCTGGCCTTTGGAGCCTTCTCATGGTTCCGCAGCCGCACCCGCAAGGGCCGTGGCGGCCACTTCCGCCTAGAAGAATCATGGGGCAACAAGGAGCTGATGAAGGAGGGTCTCCTGGGACCCAGCGGCAACGGCAAGGTGGACTAGAAGTTGTGCTTGCTCGAACAGGAGTGGAAGAAGCTGGAGGAGCAGCAGCGGTGCCCTGCACAGCATGATCTTGGCAAGTTGGACTAATGGGAAAGGCCATGAATGAGGCTACGACGATTTGGGGAACATTGAACGTCAAAAGTGTGTGGGTTGTGCTTGTCTTTTTTTTTTCTTGCTTTCAACGAAAGGAAAGCAGAATGACGTACCAAAAACCCAAAGCATTGAGGTGAATACTCACGGAGTTTGACGGGGACTCTTTTTTCTTATTAGTGTTTCTTTTTCCCGTTGCATGTCTTTCTCTTTGGTGCGGGATTTGGCCGATGAGGCCTAGAGGTCTGTATAATAAATACTCCTTTATGTTTGATAGGTTTGGCGGTGGTGGCGGGGGAGGAGAAAGGAGAATACAACGCCTTTCGCGTCTACCTTACGTGCCACTTTGACAGATTATACGTTGTTTATTTGACATTTACTCACTAGAATCCTCAACCTGGGTCAGTACTATACCTTTGGTACAGGGATTTTGACTTTTCTTGGATAATTTGTCGCTTATATGACATCAAGTTCTAAGCTGATAGGGTTCACTGTGGCTTGCGATCATGAGGAGACGAGACATCAGGAGATGTGGGCATAGAGGCAGGTTCGGTTGAATGATAGGCTGCTTGCTTCATTGTTACACACGAGACTCTGGACTGAACGAGGTTGCTTTGAAATCCCACCCAGAAGAAATGATTCATTTGTTTCCTCCGCAGCTCTAAATTCCGAACTTCCCACCCATACACGGACAATCACTGTGTCGTTTGTTTCGGTAACACGTTCCAAGATATTGTGTTTCTTGTTCTCTTACTTTTTCTTTGGCGTTTCTGGTTGTGAACGGAGAGCCTCGGACCGAACCCACCCTCCATCTGTTTTTACGTGTAAATCTCATCAGTGAAGCTGTTGAGAGACAGACCCTCCTTGGCAATGTCGTCCACGTCGACGAGGAAGTCGAGCGGCATCTCGACAATGTTGCCGCGCACGCGGTTCAGCCAGTCCTTGACTTCGCGCACGCCGCCCGGGAACTCCTCGCGCACGACGTGGCCGTACTCGACCTTGCCGCGGTTGGCCTCCTCCTCCTTCTGCTTGTCGTCCTCCTTCTTGGCGCCGGGGATGATGAAGTATTTGGAGAAGAACTCGTCATAGTCCTTCCAGGTGCGGACGCGGTCGTTGGGGACGTTGTGGAAGACCTTTGTAAAGACTTCCGTGTTCGTGCGGGCGGTGCCCTCCCAGAGGTCCCAGAACTCGCGGGACATGGGGTCGCGGACGAGGCGGTCGGCGGGGGAGTCCCAGTCGTAGGTGTTGGGTCCGCGCTCGATGGAGGTCCAGTTGTCGTTGGGGCGGTCGCAGGGCTGGTCGGGGAGGAGACCGAGGTGCTTGCGGAAGATTTGGCGGCGGAGGGAGGTGGCGAACTTGGAGGCCGTGTAGGGGCGTCCCGCCATCTCGGACTCGATGGGCGTGGGGTCCTCGATGACGACGGCTATCTCCGAGTCGTGGGTTCCGAGCTGGGAGCGGTCGTTGAGGTTGGCGGAGCCGCAGATGACGAGGTTGTCGTCGGCGATGAGGAGCTTGGAGTGGATGTAGAGCTCCTCGCTGACGAAGGCGTCGAGCTCAGCCTCAGGCTCGCCGTGCCAGGGGACCGAGTGCAGGTCGCGGCCGCTGTCCATGTAGCACGCCGAGACGGTGTCCCAGGTCTGATCCGAGACGCGGGACGCCGCCTCCTGGTAGCGCTCGTACTGGGAGTCGCCGCGGGTGCCGTAGCCCTGACCCTGCTCGCCGTAGCCGGCGCCGACGTTGTCGTCGTGTTCGCGGCGGGCATCCTCGTAGCGGACGCCGGAGCGGCCTTCGGCGTCGGCCATGGTGGAGGAGATGTTGATGCGGTCGTAGTTGCGGAGGTTGTAGAAGCGGATGTAGCGGCCCGGGTCGTCGATGCCGCCCTCGGAGCGGAGTGTCTCG